CAGGAAGCCCTGTTCAAGAGCTACTGTATGGAGTCACTGCTTTCCTCCTAACCTCTCTGGCATCCATAACCGTGCCTACTCCAACTGTCAGAGCCATTGTGGGGACTTTGGAGAGGTCACCATCAAAGAACCTGGCGTTGGCCAGTATCGTGTCCATAGCCAAGGTCTTCACTCGTGTCCTGGATACCAAACTTGACCCAGGCTCGTTGAAGGCAATGTGACCATCCGGGCCAATACCTGTAACAGACAGTTTGAGGAGGTCAGTGGCTTTACTGGTTGTCATGGGGAGCAGGGACAACAGCACTTCTGTTAGAGGGACACTCAGTGCCTCCAGGAACAGATGCACATCTGAGAAAAACACTTGCCATTTTCTGCTCAAGCTCAAATTAGCTTCTGGTAGGAATGACAGCAAAAGCCCCTCTGAAGCCAACAGACTCTTCCCTAACAGTCCCTAATGGGACAGCAATGGAGCAGAGCAGATGGCCAAATCTTCAGGCAAACTGATGGGAAAAGCTTGCCTTCAGCTCCTCTGTGCTCAGAGGACTCTGACTGCTCCTGGCAGTGTCCTGTTAGCACTGGTAATAGCGGTCCATTTTGTATTTGGTGCAATTCTAGCACTGCCTGTTTCTCCTAATCCATTCCTGAATGGACTGAACTGAATGGACCTACTGGACTGAAATACTTCAAACAGGGGGAGCAGTGCACTGCAAGGCAACGCTGCCAGCACAAGAGCGCCCAGGGCAGTGAGCATGGGGTGGCTTTCACTGCAGACCCACTGCACTGCACATGAACAGTCCTGCCAGTGCATGGGCTAGCTGGTGGAGGAAGGCAGCGCTTCCTGCCAGTGGGGTTAAGAGGCTATCGGTGTTTTGGGCCTCACCTCCCACAAAGAGTTCGATTCCTCCGGCTGCCTTGATTTTCTCCTCGAAGGCGTCACACTCCGCCTGCAGGTCCGGGGCGTTCCCATCCAAAATGTGCACGTTTTCTGCCGAGATGTCGATGTGCTTGAAGAAGTTGTTCCACATGAAGGAATGGTAACTTTCCGGGTGATCCCTCGGGAGACCTGGAAGCAGCAGAGCATGGACAGGACTAAGACCAACAGAGAGTATCACTCATAACGTAAGCCACCTCTACGCCCTTGCAGTGGCTTTGGTAACAGAGCTCTGCTTTTGGCTGTCATTTGTGACTCCCTCAGCTTCCACGACTTGGCTTTGTTTCCTTAAATAGCGCAATTAAAATCAATCAGTGTAGCTCCTCTAAGCCTCCTACAAGAGCTCCTGTATGTGCTCACCTTAACATGCAGCAGATGTTCCAGAAAGCAGGCATGCACTGTGCCTCATCTGTTACTACCTTGAGTGCTATAAACCTTCCCTGCGGTGCCTATTCCCTAATGCTGCCTGATGAGGACTTTTTCAAGAAAATATCTTGACCAGAGTAAAAGCAGCATTAGCAAATAATTAGCCCGTGTGTCTTTCACCTTTGGAACTTCAGGCTTGTCACTAATCTCTCTGTATTCTTTCTTCTCAAGAGGCTGTTTCAGCACAGCTTGCTTCATAAATTAAACAGTTCTCTGCTATCTCAACAGGAGTGCTCGTTGTTACAGGAGGGCAATCACAAGGTAACATGTTGGTGCTTGTCAGACACCTGAACCTAAACCTAAAGGTGGTAGTTAATATTGCACAGTATTGCAGGGATCCTTGGTCAATCAATACCTAACTTCAGGTAAAATACAGCAGTGTCCAGCGTGTGTTGTACCAGACACCTGATACCCTTTAGGATTTCACAGGAACATGGAACCCAGCCTGGTTTGGGTTGAAGGGACCTTAAAGCTCTTCCAGCTCCAACCCCTGCCACGGGCAGGGACCCCTTCCACTGGAGCAGCTTGCTCCAAGCCCCTGTGTCCAACCTGGCCTTGAGCACTGCCAGGGATGGGGCAGCCACAGCTTCTCTGGGCACCCTGTGCCAGCGCCTCAGCACCCTCACAGGGAAGAGCTTCTGCCTAAGAGCTCAGCTCAGTCTCCCCTCGGGCAGGTTCAAGCCATTCCCCTTGGCCTGTCCCTACAGGCCCTTGTCCCAAGCCCCTCTCCAGGTTTCCTGCAGCCCCTTTAGGCACTGGGGCTGCTCTAAGCTCTCCCCTTAAGGAGCCTTCTCTTCTCCAGCCTGCCTCCAGCTCTCTGATCGTATTTCTTACACGGATTTCAGAATTGCCCTCTTCGCTCCCATGGCCAACACAAACGTTATCCCTCCTGTCGTGAACGTGCCGCAGGTGGGACTCTCTGCATGCCCCGTGTGCTGACACCAGAGTCCGGCTGCGGTACCGAGCGCTGCGGCACATCAGCCCCCCCTCGGGCCCTTCAGGCCTTCACACCGAGAGCACAGCAGGTCACGGGGAACCAGCACTTCTGCTCTGCGGTCACTCACCCACGTACTCGTCCATGTTGAAGGTCTTCACGTACTTGAAGGAGAGGTCCCCGTTGCGGCAGTACTCCACCAGCTTCCTGTAGCAGCCCAGCGGCGTGCTGCCTGCGGGGAGCCGCCGCCTCAGAGCCGGGGCCGGGACGAGGGAAGGGCCCCCGCTCCCGGCCCCGGCACCCACCTGTGGGCAGCCCCAGCGTGAAGAAGCGGCCGGGCCCGGGCGCGAAGTGCACGATGCGGTTGCGGATGTACTTGGCGGCCCACTCGCTGGCCTGCGCGTACGTCTCCAGGATGACCAGCTTCATGGCGGGGCGCGGCGCTGCCTGCGCGGGGCGGGAGCCGAGCTGACGGGAGCCGCCATCTTCCCGCCGCCTCCCCTCTCCCCCACCCGCACACCCACACACCTACCCACCTACCTACCTGCCTGCCTGCCTGCTGCCGCCGCCCCGCGATCCCCTCCGCGGGCACGGCCACAGCCACGGCCACGGCCGGGGCCGGAGTCGGGGTCGGGGTCGGGGTCGCGGCAGCAGCACCGCCGGCAGGGCCGCCCCCCCACGCCCGCTCCGCTCCGCCCCTCACGGCGCCCGCTCGCTCGCCTCAGGAGCCCAGCGGGAGGGTCCGAGCGCGGCCCGGCCCCCGCAGGGTCGGGGTTGAGGGTGAGAAGGAGAAGTGGTTCAATACAGCGGTAATGAAGTGTTCGGGCAAGCTGCTCCAGTGGGAGGTGTCCCTGCCAGTGGCAGGGGTTGGAACTGAAGGGGCTTTGAGGTCCCTTCAACACAAACCAGGCTGGGGTTCTGTGAAACGTCCTTGTTCCTTCATGCTTCTGCTGAGGAGTCCCTGTCACTGCAGGGATGATACGCGGATTGACCCCACAACTCGTTACAGTTGTCAAGTAGGTATGCTTTATTCAGTGCTGAGGCACATGGGGATCGCACCTTCCCTTTGCCACTCAGTTGGTTTATATTACATATAATGATTACCTAAACATGGGATTGCTTCACGCCTAATACATATGCAAAACCTATTCCTGTCTAGGATTATAATTAGTTTTCTGGCATTCGTCCCATTGGGGCGCCTGTGCAGTGCCTCCTGGTGGAGGTCGTGAGGGGGTCGTGAGGATGAAGGCCTGGAGTTCCTCTTCATCACCGCGAGTAACCTCTTGCCTTCATGCAGACTCAATAGGGTTTCGGCTCCTGTTCAGACCTCAGGTTCTGTACAAGCCAGTTTTATGTATCTTAAAGCAGAAACTTGTCAAGTTTGCAAATGTTGTTACTCTGGCTATCTTTTGTTCCTTTTCTTTCTATGGATACCGTTTAAACAAGAATGTCTCAAATGTCATGAATCTGATCTACTACAATTCTGCCTGGCAGCTGTAACTTACAATTCTGCTTCCCCGTTCTAGCAACTTTGACTCCTATGGTTCTGCTTCACCAAGCACAGCGACTGCTTAAGTAAGCAGGCATAATGTTAACCCTTTATTTCCCGGTATCAGGGATCTGCCCGACTCGGTCCTTCAGCTGCTCTGGGTGTCATTCACCGACCCCTGATCCCTAAAGGGAAGCTGTGAGCTGTGTCCTGGGCAGGAATGAGCAGCGCTCGAGCTTTAAACACCTTGTAGGGACCATTTCAGGGCAGGATGGGGGGAATTTGGGTCCTCAGCTGCAGGGACAATGAGCAGACCGTGACCCACTGGTGCTTGTGCTGCTCCTGACAGCAGCGGCACCCCCAAAAGACCTGGCTGCTGCTCCAGCTTCGGCTGCCTTCAACTGTGATGGAGATGTGCCCGGCCCCTCCTTGCAGTCTGGGCTGGGTGCTGAGGTCAAAGCTCTTGCTGCAGTTCGACAGCTTTTCACTTTCATCAGGAGGACACATAGTAACCGATGGCTGTGCTAGGACCCAGCCCATTCAAACGGCCTGGCTGGCTGAGTGTTCCTCACACTGGGTCTCATTGTGGATGCTGAGAAGTCCTGGCTCGGTTTCCACTGGGATGAGGAAGGAAGGATGTGACAGGCTGTAGCCAGGCTGTGGTTGGTCACGGGGAGAGTTTTAGGCCACAGAGACTAAATGAACTGAAAGTGTCGTGTGTTTGCATCAGCACTGGTTAGCCAGCAGGCTGTGGTGATGGGTGAAGAGCTGATAGCAGCATCCTCATCCCTGCTGCAGCACAGGGCAGCTGGGCTCCGGTTCTGGGTGAAACAGCGTTTCCACAGTTCCCATGGGGGTCATGTTGGTGGGATTGGTGCCACGGACGCCGGCAGGAATTGCAGCGCTGGTGGGTTCACAGATGAACAGGACTGTACCTCCACTGGGACTTGGCTGGGGTCTGAACACTTCCAACGCTGTTCATTCACCAGCAGCATGCAGTGAATGTGGTGAGTGTGGCCTCTGACCTGACGTCGAGAGGGGAGTTGTGGTGAAGAACCACAGCTCTCACTGCAGAGTCAGTTACTGCAGCTCACCTGCAGCTTCTGGTGTGCAGAGCCAGAACTGGTGCAGGGCTCGGAAGGGAGAGCGCACCAGCACCTCAATCCTGCAGTCACCGCATCATTGCTTGGTGTTACCATGGAAACGTGTGCAGGCTTGGAGGGTTCTGGAAAGCCACTGCTGGAGACACAGAGCACATAGGAACTGATTGCAAGAGACACCACGGACTTCCCACAGCAGAGAGCTGTAGGGCAACAACCATGTCCTGCTCTGGGGTGATTGGGTTTGTCTGCTGTCAGAGTGCCCTGTGGACACCCATCAGCCAGCCCTGCCCTGCCTCTGCTGTACTTTGCCCCCAAAGGAGAAACGTGGCATTTGAGGATCAGCCTTATGGCATCCTACCACGCTGGTCACACAGCCCCAGTGTCACGATGGATTTGCTTTAAATACTGGGGGACTCTGTTGATCACAAAGGGCCTGGCTCTCTCTTCAATCTCCTGTGCAAGTGGCTTTGGCAGATACAGTGCACAAAGATGAAGGAGGCAGCCGGCAGCTCCCAGTGAAAGCAAAACATGTTTTGATGAGAGGAAGAAACTACAATGGTACAAGAGTGCCAGGCACGTGCATCTGCTGCCACAGCTGCCCTGTTCTGCCCACATCCCGTGTATCTGCATACTTTATGCAGTCTTATGTTACTTAGGAGTCGCTCCAGGGCTGGATTATATGTGTGACTGGCATGCAGGGTATTTTTAGGTATGATAATTTATGCATGTTATTGTTTCTGCATTTCCAGCTAGCTGTGCAAATGTTGAAGAACTTCCTGGTATCTGAGCAGGCTGATTTTCCTTCCTTGCAAAGGCAGCAGATGGAAGGAAACAAACACTTCTCCGCAGAAGAAGTTGAACCAAGGAGTTCTAACAAGCACAGCATTTTCTTTTTCTCTGTGTCGAAGTGATTGGAGTCAACAGTGCTCAGAGACCAGGGCTTTCGCTGGGAACTGTTTGGGAGCACTGGGCTTTTTCCCCTAAAAAAAGAGCAACAATTAAAAAATTATATCCATAAAGGCCCCTCTCACCAAATCCTGTAATCACAGTCTTTTTAATATCCACCATCTGTCACCTCTCCCTGCTCCAGCATGTTCCGCTTACCTTCCCACCTCTACTTATAAGAAAAGGAGAAACAAGATTCCATGTTGGGCAGATGTGAAGGGGAGCCCACTCCCTGCTTAGCTCTCCCAGCAGCACCCAAATCCCAGTTAAGGGGTGCTTAGTTGGTGCATGAGCAGGCAGCTCTGGAGCACACACATGCCAGTCCCTTCCCGACGAGGCTGTCATGGGGATTGAGATGAGGCATAAGGAAGTTCTTCCCTGTGAGAGTGGTGAAGCCCTGGCACAGGGTGCCCTGCTTATTTCTCACTATTCTAGCTTTAAAACACCCTGCCTCTGGGGTTTGTGATTTAGCTTTTAGTGTTCAATATTTATTACAAAGTGCAGATGAAAAGTGTTCCCTTTATTGTGTAGTCACACACAACAATTAAAGGAGCTTGTACAGTGTTATTGTACAGTGATTTCAGAAGACTCTCTACTGCAATTCTGTAACACATTCAGTCACTTTCAAACACTTCCACAGCACATCCCATGTGGAAGTCAATGAAAAGCAATGACTTCAAGCTTCAGAACATCTCTTGGGAGAAAAAACACTTTGCACTGGAAGAAGAGTCAAAACACACAGAGGCATGAAGTGATATGCCCAAACCCATGGGGGAAATGAAAGCAGAACCAGTCATGCACTATAACCACAGTGTCATCTTTCTACAGCTTTCCCCCACCTTAGAAAATCAAACACACACAGAAAGCAGCTGGAAGAAACTGCATTGCCCCTCGTGAATTAGTCTTGCTCAGACTACATGGCCTAATTAGGCCGTGGTTTGCCTCCAGCTAGCCCCAGAATGGCTCTGACACAAACTGCTTTGCCATTTCTTCAGGATACATTCCAGCATCTTCCTGAAGGCATGTACAGGTTGCTTCTTGTTTTAGTGTCGATGATGCGCATAGTTAATCACCACTGTGGCTATAGCCTTAGGGCTATAATCCCACCTCAATAGCAAGTAAATCTGTGTGTGTCAGCAGGACAGCTTCTTACTGCAGGGAGATTCTTAGTGCAAATGGTGAATGTTGTGGAAAGGTGAAACCAGAGAGGCTGTCAGTGCCTGCAGCTCGCATTCCAGCTCCTTCAAAGGTACCTGTGTTGCAAGAACCGTGCATTCTCCTGGTGTCTCCAGCATTTCTCAGGAGTTGCTCTTTGAGGTTATTCCTGGCTAAAATCCTTTATGATTTCTGCCTCTTCTTCAACACAAGAATCGTGATGTCCATTCATCTCACTAAGGCAGCAGTGAGCCACCTAGTCCTGCAAAGGCAAAAAAAGGAAACATGCAACCTGATTACGGCCCTGAATAATGAGCATCAGAGCACGTATTTATGACTGAGGAGTTCAAACCCATGTCTTCAGGTTTAAATGCTTCCGACTCTGAATTTGCAGCTTGGAATCCCAGGGGGGCTGATTCAGCCTTCCTCATCCTAAAGCTGATATATTTAAGCCTCATCAACCTTAGGGACTGATGTGGGTAGTTCTGCACAAGGCTGACTATAGCTGAGCTGTGCACGTAGAATATAAAGGTTACACAAGCTGGGAAGTCTCCTCACCAGTGCAACATTCAACACAAAACCTCTCTGAATAAACCAGGCTCTATCTCCGTGTGGTTTGCTACGCGTGCTTCTTTTGGACTGAGGTTTCAAATCTGCGATGCCATCTGCTTTCTGTGGATATGAAAGATCTGATGGTGCTCTCGGAGGAGTTGGCCAACATCTCGTGTTTGCTTCAGCTGCAGCGCAGCATGTCGCAGGCCTCTTCTCTGCCTGTGTGGATACGCCGCTACGGATGGCGGTGCAGGCACGTGTCAGCACCCTGATGGGGTGTTGCTGATGGGCATAGGTAGGGGTACGTATGGCCAAGCCTTGGTTAATGTGGCTTAGGACGGTGCTGGTTTCTGTGGGTGCCCTGGTGTATTCTTGCTGAGGTGGCCTTGTTTTTCAACATGGGTTTATTTCAATTTTCTGACTTGGTGGGTTTCACAGAAGCATCATAAAATCACAGAATGTTTGGGTTGGAAGGGACCTTACACGTCACCTAGTCCCAGTGCCCCTTTAGGCACTGGAGCTGCTCTCAGGTCTCCCCTTCAGGAGCCTTCTCTTCTCCAGGCTGCCCCAGCCCAGCTCTCTCAGCCTGGCTCCAGAGCAGAGCTGCTCCAGCCCTCGCAGCAGCTCTGTAGCCTCCTCTGGACTTGCTCCAGCAGCTCCACGTTCCTCGTGTGCTGTTGGCCCAGAGCTGGACCAGAACTAGCCAGAGCGCAGCAGAGGGGCAGAATCCCATCCCTCCATGTGCTGCTCATGCTCTGGGGATGCAGCCTAGCACACGGTTTAACACATTCTATGGAAGCTTTCATTCTGAAGAATCATGCATGAAGTTTCATAATATATAACATATAATCTATAATAAATTGGTGCACAGTTTGTGCGGTCACTTCTGCAGCTCCCACAGGCTGCCGGCCCACAGCATCCCGGGGGCAGAGGAGCACCGGGTGCCCCGCGGCCCGCTCCGGGCCGGCTCCGGTCGCTCTCCGGGTACCAGCGGAGCCGGCCTGACCCCTGCACCCAACGCCGCTCCGGGCTCCCGCTGCCGGCAGGCCCCGGCCCCGCAGGCGGGCGGGGCGGGAGGCGGGCGCGACCGAGCGTGACGGGCGGAGGGCGGGAGCGAAGCCCGCAGCGAGGAGCGACCCGGCTGCCGCCTCCTGCGCCTCCGCAGCGCCCGTCGGGAGGCGGCCGGGCAGCGCTGCCGCCGAGACCCCATCTCCGTGCCCGCTCGCCCTCGCCCCGCCGAGCGCCATGGCGGCCGCCGAGCCCGCCTGCGGCCGGTACCAGCAGGTGAGGGGGGCGCCGCGGCTCCGTAGGCCGCGCCGGGGGGGACGGGGCCGGGGGCGAGGCCGGGGCCGGGCGGGGATCCTCCGCCGCTCCCCGCAGCTGTGCCCGGGAGCTCGGAGCCGGGGGGCGCCTCAGCCCTGGCCCGAGGCCGGGCGCGTCCCAGGGCTGTGGGCCTGGGCCGGGCCTGCGGGCGCGGAGCCGCTGCCCCGCGGCGGGGAGAGGCGGGGAGCGGGGCGGTGACCGGGCCTGCGGCCTGCGGAGGCCTCGGTGCCCGCTGGGGCGCGGTGTGCCCTGCCGGCGGGCGGGCCGCGCTCGGGCTGCGGAGCGGCGGCTCCTCCTCGGCTGTGCAGCGCCGGGGCCTGGGCGACCTTGCGCGCAGGCGGCGGTCCCCGGCGGCTGTTGTCAGCCCGATCCCCGCGGTGCTGCAGGGCCGCGCCGCCGCGGTCCCAGCCTGCAGGTCGAGCCCCGAGCTGGGCCGGGACATTACGGTCAGCTTCAGTTCATCGCTGACTTGGGGTCCCCGCTGGCCCAGAGTGAAACCCCCGCAGGCCAGAGACCGGCCCTACAGAGCTACCTCATAAACGCGGGGCTGTTCTCCCTTCCCAGCCTCCTGCGGGATTGGAGGTGTTCTGTCAGGAGCATCAGCCCCATGGAAGGGGTTTGGGCCCGGTTGGATCCCGCTGTGTGACCCGGCTCCTCTGGTTGTATTCCTGACGAGCAGATGCGGAGAATTCATTACATAAAGTAAGGGAGAAATCCCTCAAAATGGTACGCAGCACTTTTCCTGCTGATCCAGGGTTCTTTGTAGAAATCCCTGTGCCATGACTTTGCCTTGGGAGCACTGTCAGTGTGGGTAGGATCTCTCCAGAAAATGAGATTCTCTTCAGAGGTTCACTTCAGCACACGAGATGCAATATTAGCCTTATTGTGCCAGCTGGAGGCCTCTGGGTTTTGCATACTAGAAATGTAAAAGTTAAGTAAAACTCGGGCTTTTTTCCATTGTTCTCTGCAAAGTAGATGTTTGCTTATGAAGACAAATCTCTGTTGCTGTTCTTGGAAATGGCAGGTACAAATAACCAGGTCTTCACTAATCGCCTTTCCTGTCAGAGCCCTGCTGTTGGCATTGACCCCAACAGACATCTTCACAAGTGTCTTTTAAAAGGCTCTTGCTTTGTGTCCCATCGCCTGGAGCCCATGGAGAGGGGTGACAAACGTGCCACTGCTGAGCTGCTCTTCAGTGGTGCTACCTGCCCCATACGCACAGCCCTGATCTCCTTACAGAGCAATGTGTGAAGCTGGCGTTTCACCAGCTCCTGTGGACACATCAGGCAGACAGAGAGCAGAGAGTGCTGGTGCTATAGAGCTGTACAGGTCACTGCAGAGAGCAGGCTGTGCCCCGGGGGTTTTACTGCTAATGCCAAGCAGATCATGGAGGCCCAGGAAAGCAGTGGTGTAACTGGGGTGCACAGTCAGAAACTGCCCTGTAAATATGTTTACTTTTCTGTAGCTGTTTAGAAATCGATTGTTTTTCCCTTGACCTCTGCCAGAACCCGGGTATTTCATAGAATCCCAGCCTGGTTTGTGTTGGAAGGGACCTTAAAGCTCATCCAGTTTCAGCCCCTGCCATGGGCAGGGACACCTTCCACTAGAGCAGCTTGCTCCAAGCCCTGTCCAACCTGGCCTTGAACACTTACTTCTGGTGGTTTAATGTGTGTTACTGCTGAACCAGCTCCTCATGCTTGTGTAGCTCCCAAAGCCCTGCAAGCTGTGAAACTAAAGATGCAGAGTTGGTATTTAGATGAAGAGGAGATGAGAAGGTGGGAGAGTCTCCCCAGCACTGAAGGTGTTTCAACAACAGCTGATCCTTGCTGTGTGCATGGATGTACAATGAATGAATGTACCGTGTGCCAGTGAAGACAGACTTGTAGTGATTTGATATCTGCATGTGTGTACTTTCAGAAGAAAAAAGTTGATGGTGATGAGGGTGATCAGACCACAGCAGGGGTCGAGAACTGGGTTTGAATCTGGCTGTTTCTTCCACCCTGTTCCTTCGCCCTGTAGATGGGGAGCGGGGGGTGGCCGTGCACCCCAGCAACCTCTTTGGCTGCAAGCTGGCAGGCTGTGTCCGTTCACCCACGCGTGCAGTGATCCAGGGCTGTGCAGTGGCACATGATCTGTTCTCGAAAGCTAACTTTCCAGCCCATGTGCTCTGTGCAGGCATTAGATAATCTGATAAAAAATAGCCTGCAATGACGCCTTCGGATGATGTTGCAGTCTGATCTGAGACGTTGAGGAAGTGCAGCTTGGTGAAGAATAAAGCTAAAACTTCAGAGAAAGGATCTCAGCTTCCCCCAGCCCTTTTCCATCAGGAGCACAGGCTGGAGCAGTGTAACCAGGGCAGACTGCTGGTTTCATTTCCTCCTGGAACCTGGTGTCCGGGTGATGGGGCTGAGCTTGCTGTAGATGGGAATGGGAGATGTCTGGAGGAAGGAAGGCAGCAGCACGCCCTGGTGTCGTTATTCTGGGCAGTGCTGTGTTCCAGAAAGGGACACTGGGAGGCTGTTGGCATTTAGACCTGCCTCTGGGGAAGCTGTACAGGGATGTTGTTAGGATTAGGTGGCTTAAAGCCTTTTGGGCATGACCTGGATTGTGAGTTCAGTGGCAGAACTGTATTTTGTCCTTAGAATAGAAACCAACCTCCATGCTGGAAAAAATAGCTAGGCTTTTAATAGGTTTATTTACACTGTGTGTTCACCGCAGCTTGCTTTTTACTTGAAGCCTTTGAAGATACGTGTGATGTACGGGAGTCACATAAACCCACCTAGAAAATGGTGGGTGTGTTAAATAGTGAGGACACATTCCTTGCTGAGTGATATTTCTTCCTGTTCCATTTGTTGAAGGCTTACATGGATCCTAAATCTCTTCATAAGGGGAGGTGTCCATGGCAAACATAAGAAAGATTTTGAGTTCCTTTGGTTTTCTTTTGGTGAAACTGCAGAAGAAATACACTGCTGAGGATATAATGTGAATGCAGCTTGAATCCATGGAGGACCACAATGATTACTTACTATCTGGGAAGGCTGGAGTGAACCAAGGAGCCAGTTGCCACCTTGTGCTTACCTTAAGCTTGTATTTCATTTTTTCTGTTGAAGCAGTCACGCGGATTGAAACTCAAAGATGAGAATATACCAAATCTTTTAATGTCAGCAGTTACAATTAGTGGTGTCGGTGCTGTTCGTTTCCTTGGTGAGGTGCTTGCAGCATGCAGGAGATGTGCTTGCTATAGATACAAGCAACTGATAAGAACGATAAGGAAATGTCCAGAGTAGGTTGTTTTCAGGTTTTTTTGCATTCAGACAAGCAGAGTGGGAGATACCCATTGGCATAAACCCAGGAAAGATTCCAAAAAGGGTTTCAGAGTAAAGTGATGCTCTTGCGTTCTGCTGCAACCGATAGGGACCACACGCCTTGCCTGGAGCTGCCCAGTGACCCGCCCAGAGTGTGTTGAGGTGACTGAAGTCTCGCTGTTTGCCTCTGAAACACCCACTCCTGTAGGCAGCAGTACCTGTCAGGTGAGGCTGAAAGGCTTTAGTGATTCTATCTGAAGAAGTAATTGTGGAATTAAGATATAGTCCATCTCTAACAGGGCTCGGGAGAGGCGGTGAAACAGGAGTTGTCCAGTGTCGGAAATAGCTTGTGTAACAGGAGAAAATAGCCGTGCAAACTTCTAAATAAAATATTATCTTAGGTATCAGGATTCTTCCCTGTGAGGGTGCTGAGGCGCTGGCACAGGGTGCCCAGAGAAGCTGTGGCTGCCCCATCCCTGGCAGTGCTCAAGGCCAGGTTGGACACAGGGGCTTGGAGCGCAGGTTTGTGCTGGCCCAAGTACATGTTTGCAGTCCAGTCAGACCAGTATAGTTCCCTGTTTGAGCAGAGCTGTTTCCCAGGGCTGAGGTGTATTTCCATGTTGGCAGACCATTAACTGCAGTGAGTCAGTGAAAAACATCCTTGTGAGCACGGGTGGTATTTTGATGGACATCAAATATGTTTTGCTTTGTGGTGTTCACCTTGGTAGCTGGGGAGGTCATTGCAAACTGACCCTTCAGGTGGATGCTCCTGTGGGTTCCTGGTCCTTGTCCGTGCATCCCATTGTGTGGGTGCAGCTGTGTGCTCACTGCATGGAATGTTTTGGGAGGGGGAGTGAAGGAACGGTTCTCAGTCCTGTGCTAAAATGAAGTTGAAGCTGAGGCTGGCAGAGAGCTCAGGATTCGCTCCCCAGAGCTGGGCTGTGCTCAGGGCCCAAGGGAGAATCCATTCCCCATTGTGAGGCCTGGGCAGGAGCATCAGCATCTCCCGGTGCACGGAGGAGCCAGGGAAGGGTTTGCTGGGACTGTGACTGCTGAGTGTCACTGCAGAGCTGACAGCACTGTGGGGCTGGGGTAGGCACTGTCACTCCTCGGGCTAAATGAACTGGAGGTGATGACAGAGAAAACAGTTATTTGCTCATCAGGGAGAGGCCTGATGGATGTGGGCTGCCTTGTCTGACAGCTTATCAGTGCTTATATCTATTACATATATATTACATACATGTCTGACAGCTTATATGTGCTGTTATTCCTGGTGATTAATAAGGGGATGGTAAGTCATGGGAGTCAGCAACAACATAGGGCAGAAGTCAAGATTTCAAGTCTAGGGAAGTAAGGAAGTATAAGTGAAAATAATTCTCTTCTTCAGAGTTGGCAGCAACTTGCATTTGCTTCCACAAGGCCAGAGATACGGAAGGAGAGGAGGGCCATGAGAATGATCAGGGGACTGGAGCACCTCCCTTATGAAGATAGGCTGAGAAAGTTGGGGCTGTTCAGCCTGGAGAAGAGAAGGCTGCGTGGAGACCTCAGAGCAGCCTTCCAGTATTTGAAGGGGGCCTATAGGGATGCTGGGGAGGGACTCTTCATTAGGGACTGCAGTGACAGGACAAGGGGTAATGGGTTCAAACTGAAACAGGGGAAGTTTAGATTGGATATAAGGAAGAAATTCTTTCCTGTTAGGGCGGTGAGGCACTGGAATGGGTTCCCCAGGGAGGTTGTGAATGCTTCATCCCTGGCAGTGTTCAAGGCCAGGTTGGACGAGGCCTTGGGTGAGATGGTTTAGTGTGAGGTGTCCCTGGCCATGGCAGGGGGGGTTGGAACTGGATGATCTTAAGGTCCTTTCCAACCGGAACTATTCTATGATTCCAATAAGGGATGTTGCTATGGGAGTGAAGTGTAACCTGTTTGTGGGCAGGCTCTTGCTGTGCTGGAGTACTCCCAAGTTTAGTAGTGGTGCACATTTTAACTTATTCTTAGCATTTGGCTTGCAAAGGTGATGATTCCATTGCTCTGAAAACATCGATCCTGTTGCCTTTTAAAACAAATATCAGTCCTCTTTCTGGCATTCGCCTGAATATCTGCCTTTTGAAATCTCAGAGAAACCACAGTAACAACAAAAATGGGATCTGATCAGGGTTGTCTTCCTCTGTTGGATTTGTGTGCTGTTCTACCTTATGTGCCAGACATAAAATAAGAACTGAAATGCAGTAAACACGGATGATCTGTGGCTGGGTTAATGTATTATTGATGATCTGTTGCTAAGGCGAAGCTTGTAGTGATGCTGAATTAGTATAAAGAATATGTGCAAAGGGCAAGGGGAGGTTAAAACCCCCCAGGATCTAAATCTGTGTCAGCAGCCCCGGTGCCAAGTTCAGCAAATTTAGAAGAATTAACAAATATATTCATTGGAAATGCTTTCTGAAAGTTCACATGGGACTGTTTCAAGACAGAGAAGCTGTGGCTGCCCCATCCCTGCAGTGCTCAAGGCCAGGTTGGACACAGGGGCTTGGAGCAAGCTGCTCCAGTGGAAGGTGTCCCTGCTCGTGGCAGGGGGTTGAGTTTGGATGAGCTTTAAGGTCCCTCTGAACGCAAACCAATCTGTGATTCTGTTGATTCTTTTGTAAAGCCTCAAATACAGGAATCTTGCTGTAAAAGCTAAAATCCATCAGTAAATCGAAGAAAGAAGACCCACAACCTCAGCAAACCAGGCATAAGTCAAACCCTGCTTTCACCAGGTTCTCTGGGTTCTGAAGACTCAGCAGTGGCCCACGGGGGAATCAGCCACGAACCCGAGTAGTGTGGCTCAGTGCATCCCTGGTGCTACGTGGGGCAGACAGAGCATGCGACGCGAGAGCAGGGCTGCACCACACGAAGCCTGGTGATTCATTCTTCCTGCCACATGAACCCTTGCTGCTTTGCTAATAGGCACTTAGTTGAATTTTAGATGGCTGGGATCATTAAAAAGGCTGGCAGGCATTTGTGTACATTGTCCATTAGAAGAAAAAGCTGTTTTCTATAACTGTACCTCCTGCAGCCTTGAGCTGCACTTCCAAAAGTTAACTGTGTTTTTTGTGTCATTACCTGGATTGGAATGGTTTGAAACCAGCAGTAAGCTCCGCTCGCTTTCTCCCACACAACATTGGTGTAAAAATAGGCGTTCCTTTTTACTATTGAAAGAAGAACCTTGTAAGAATTCCAGTGGTAGGAATTAATGTTCCACTCAATAATCTGTGTCCTCTTCCCTTTCATCTCTCCCAGTGTTGTCACATCTAGTGCTTTCCTTCCCCCTCCTTGGTGATTGTGCTTTTAAGCTGTATATGTCTTCTTTCTTGCAGACATTAGGGCTTTAGTTTCTGCCACCCCTTCACCAGGTGAGGGGGTAGTGCAGGGAATGCAGTATCCAAAGTGTTCTGATGTGTTGGAGCCTTTCCTCCTTCACTAATAGAGTGGGTTTTGCATCCAAACATCCAGTGAACTGTGCTTCGAGCATCTGAGAAGGGTTTGGCTTTGACTTTCACAGAGCACATGGATATAGTCTGGGCTTTGCTGTTAGGCAGTAAAAGGAGTGAAAACCCATGACACACAACAGTTATGTATGAAACAAGCCCTTCAGTTAGAAGTGTGAGCGGATTTTGATTTTTTTCCTTATAAGTCATGAAGTAAAACAGGAACGTATTCCCACCCCCTGACCCCTTGCATTAAATGCTTGGGAAGGACTTGAATAGCAGCATGTCTCTCCAGAGGAAAGAAACCAAAACGTCATGGATGGCTTCAAGAGTAGTAGAGTGGGTATATGGGAGGGGTAGATCAAGGAGATGTTAAGGAAGAGGTTGCAGGGTTATTCCTGTGGTGATTACAAAAGAGAGTAGTTGGTGAGATGATGAGAAAAGGAAAGAAGAAGAAAACATCATTAGGTGGCAGCTGATTTACAGATTCCTTTCTGGTGGGTTCTGCTTTGGATGCTTCTGCCCTGGTATTGCTGGATTCTCTGGCCAAAGCCTGTGTTCACGTGCCTGCTTCATGCAAGTGACACTGTGTTTGATAAGCTGTGTGGTTATTTATACAGAGCCTGTGGGAGGCACAGTGCACAAAATAACCCATCTCCTTTTCAGTCATGCAGTGTGAAAGGTTGAAAGGAAATGGCAAGATCCACACTTGTATGTATCTTTATGTAATGTATCCATGGAAAAACCCTTCCTTAGCAAAGCCACAGGCAGCAAGGGAGTCTTCTGTTGGGTATCTCATGGTGTCCCTTCGGCTAAACCAGGTGTAACTGCAGTTCCTAAGCAGTGAGCTGAAGAAGTGCCAGGGGAATGGGAAGGTACTGAAAAGATGTGTGCTGCACTTTGCCAGGTGTGTGAGGATACGACTAAAACCACATTAAAGCTGAGATGATGTATAGATCATTTCAAGTGGGAGTGTTTGGAGGGAGGCTCAGCTGCTTCTCATGTGTCCCATGGTGCTGCACAACAGTTGTCCAACAGAAGTCTGTTGTGTGCAGTTAAAACTATGGGGTGATTTCACAGAGCTTGGGAAGCCCCATTAACCTCTCTGTGTGTGGGTCTGTTCAGCTGCAGAATGAAGAGGAGCCAGGTGAGACTGCACCCGTGCTGAATGATGCCCCTCCACCTTACAGCAGCATTTCTGCAGAGAGTACAGGTACATTTCACTTACAAAGCAACGTTTGCTCTGCTCTTCTTCCTTGCTTGTTCTCCTTGTTATTGATGGGTGGCATTGCAGCATCCTTGCCAAGGCTGCAAAGAACCAGAATTGATCCAGAGAGACTGCTGTTACTTGTGGTTTAGGAGGTGCACTTTGGCTACATTCATCTGATGTCATCCCATCAAGTGGCGGTCAAGTTACATTTCGTGGTGTTCTCAGCAGGTTGAAGACAGTTAAAAATCAAAGTGCTGTGAGGATTTGTGGTTCCCCTCTCATTATCTGCCATTTGGATAATGCTGTGCACCTTCCAAAAAGGGCTTGTTACTTAAAAGGGATTAAGAATTCACTCTTACTGCAGTTTTCAGTAACTAAAGACTGTCCTAAGGATTATACTTCTGAATCATCACACTGTCGTGTCCCTAATAGCTTTCAGCAAAGCAGCTTGGTTTGTGTTGGTTATGTAGCAGAGCATTTTGGCTTAGGTAAATCTCTTTTTTTTTTTTCCTATTTTTTCATAGTCAACTATTCAGGTAAGATTTGTGAATCAAATGTAACATACTGTCAGGGTCTGTCAGCCAGCTATGGATAGAAGTTTGGATATTGTATTTATCAAGCTGCCTATTGAGCATCCTGCCTTGGTACAGTCACCACGAAGATGTCCCGTTAGTTCTAGTTCTTTAGTGCATCTCAGTGACTGGGGCTCAGAAGTGTGATGTCACTTATTCCAATCCCTTTTCCATGCAGCTGAAAACTATTTGGAGTCTCTGTCTGGAAAGATTGGTCACCGGTGGGCTGAGGCTTGCAGTGAGCCTTTCACTCACTCAAAGTCCTTGGATTTGAAAACATGACTACTTCTGATCATTGAAGTCAGGAGAGACACAGCATGTATCGTTGTTTTAAACAGGAATAGCCAGGCCTGTTACACTGATACCCAGAGAACTGCTGTATATCAGATAAGGTGCTCCCATGTTTTCCACTTTCTGTTTTGGGATGGCAGGAGGCTGGGAGGGAACAGGAGGGGCCGGATCTGACAGCCTGGGGTATTGACGTCTTCTGAAGTCATCCAAAGCACAGCTCATTCCCAACACGGTGTTCTCGGGGAGCCCACAACTTACCTTCTTTATACCCTTTCTTTTGCAGCTTATTTTGACTACAAGGATGAGTCAGGATTTCCTAAGCCTCCATCTTACAACGTGGCCACAACACTGCCTAGTTACGATGAGGCAGAGAGAACCAAGGCTGAAGCCACAATCCCCTTGGTTCCTGGAAGGGTGAGTACACTCAGCCAGCTCCGTGTCCTTCTCGTTGCTGGTGGAGAACTTCTGGTTTAACTCCTGCTGAGCAAGGGCCATGACTTGTGTTTGTTCTGAGCTTCCTGGGGTGCTGGTACCACACGCTCCCAAGAGCCTGGGGCTAATCTGGGGGTTTTTCTGCTGGTTATTTTTATTATCTGTAATTGCCAGTGTTCCTGTGGGTGGCTGTGGTGATGTAAACACCTCTGCAACGCCAGCATCCAGATTAGCTGGGCACGCTGACAGGGGAGCTGGACTGCGTCCCTGGGCACTGCCACTGGGGCTTTTTAAAGGCTTAGGATTAACTGTTCAGCGTTGATACTCCTCCTGCTTACTTCGTTGACTGCCCCAGAGGTCAGTGTAGCTCATACAAGGATGGGAAAGCCATTCTGTCGGAATAATTAGTTTTCATTTGTTCTGGGTTTTTTTCCAGCACTCTCCCTTGTCCAGCCTCTTCCTCTACCCCTGCATTACATGGCCACTGCTTATTATGCGCCTTCGCAGAAGCCAAATTCTTTGCTGAGATGACAATTTTAATAGCTTTGATGAATAGAGGAGTTCTTTACAGTGAGACCAAGAACAGGCTGGGTCTTGACTATCTTAAAAATATTAGAAATCATATTATGTATATAATATTTCATGCTCTGCATTGTCTCAGGATGAGAAGCATCCTGCTTACATTTGTAGCTCTTTGTGATTTAGGATTCCCGCCCTCTGCCCTACAGGGGACTTTTCATAGAATCCCAGCCTGGTTTGGGTTGAAGGGAGCTTAAAGCTCCTCCAGCTCCAACCCCTGCCACGGGCAGGGACCCCTTCCACTGGAGCAGCTTGCTCCAAGCCCCTGTGTCCAACCTGGCCTTGAGCACTGCCAGGGATGGGGCAGCCACAGCTTCTCTGGGCACCCTGTGCCAGCGCCTCAGCACCCTCACAGGGAAGAGCTTCTGCCTAAGAGCTCAGCTCAGTCTCCCCTCTGGCAGGTTCAAGCCATTCCCCTTGGCCGGTCCCTACAGGCCCTTGTCCAAAGCCCCTCTCCAGCCTTCTTGTAGGCCTCCTTTCTTAAATGTAAATGAAGCATTTTGGATCCCTCTGTTGAACGCTGCTTTCTGAAGGCTTTGCAATTTGCTGTCCCTTTCTTGAAGAGCCCCATGCAGAATTTGTAGTGCTGTATGGACTGGTCTGACATAAATCCACCCATGTCTCATCTCCCTTGGATTTGCAGGATGATGAATTTGTGGCCCGGGATGACTTTGACGACACTGACCAGCTGAGGATAGGAAATGATGGCATTTTCATGCTGACTTTCTTCAGTAAGTCTGTGGGGGGGCTTCCCCTTTTTTCAGGCAGTGAGCCAAAGTAGCTGGAGTTATTTTCATGCTTAGGTTTATGCAGCACTAGCAGAAACCTGTGCGCAAAGGTTTTATGTTTGATTTGGAATGTAAAGGGGATTTGACCTGCTGCTTTTCTCCTGCTTTCTCAGTGGCATTCCTCTTCAACTGGATTGGATTTTTCCTGTCTTTCTGTCTGACTACTTCAGCTGCAGGACGATATGGGGCCATTTCTGGGTTTGGTCTGTCTCTCATTAAGTGGATTCTTATTGTCAGGGTAAGTTGTGTAGTGCAATCCCATGCACATCGACAGTTTATCTCGGTTTTATCCCCCTTATGCTGGTTTGCTGAAGTGGATGGGAGAAGCCCGCTGGTGCCCTCTGGTGCGACATGCCTGCGGCACAAGCAGGAGGGGATAGGAGGAAGCACACTTCTGTTTTATTTCCATCTAAACTCGGCATATCCGGACTGTTTATACATCCACTGTGCTCCCCGCTACCGGATCACACAGCAGAGGAAGGGGATGACTGGTCAGAACTGGTTTCTTTTATGGGAGCCTGGATTCAGAGAAAGGCTGACGTAGTGTTTCTAAAACTCGGAGGAGGAGAAAGAGAAACGATGTTGGGGGAAAGCAGGAAGGGATCAAGATGTGCTGGTGCTGAAGGAATGGGGGAAAAAAGGCAAAATGTTTTTTGGAGGGACTGGGAGAAAATGTTTCTGTCAGGAAAGCTTTATTTGGAGCTGGTGGTGTCTGTGAAAATGGCACACAGACATCCCAGGCTGAGAGCCTAAATTGTAAGCAAAAAGGCTCATTAGGTGTGCATCAGTAGGGAGCATTTGGGTTAGGGCTGTCACTTCATACCTGATCTTTTGGGGCTAGGAATTAGAATGTGTCCATACAGCATCTGTTGACTTTTCCTGTAGGAAGTGGTGGTACCAGTGGTGTTAAGAGCTGTGCGCTTGATTAAGAGGTGTGGCAGCAGTAGGTGACCTTACCTGTGGATGTGATTGAAACTCTGATGACAAGCTTATCTTTTGTTAGGTTTTTAAACTTGAATAGAATGAAAACAAAAAAAAAACCCTGCTGTATTTACCACTGACACAATGAGCTGCAGTGCTCTGATAGTGTCAGTGCCTTTCAGTCAATGGGCAGTAATTTTCTCAATAGAAGATCCTGTCAGAGGGTTCCACAGGTCTGGGGTTTCTTTTTCAACTGGACTTTTGTTTGCTGTGCTGTCCTACCTCACACTGTAATTAATGCACTGCTGCAGACCTGGTCTTCCCTTTCACAAACTGCAGCTGTGGTTTACAAGCATCAAAGATGTATGGGAAAATAGGCGTATTTGCCCAGTAGTGTCTTAATGCTGCACTGACTGCAGGAGTTTATGGCTGGGCATTGTTCTGTTCCGTTCCCCTTGGTTAGAGTTGGCCTGATGTGTATGGAAAAACCTTAAATGAAAGTTTGTGGAGGTGGCTTGTTCCCTGCAATTGGTGCAGCTGATGAAATGTGGTGTTCTATAAAGTCTCTTCTGTGCACATCTGGGCTTGATCTGGTTACTGCTGAAATGGGTGGGAGCAGATTTGGATTCAGGCACTTCCATGCGCTCTAACTTGTATGTATGTATTTTTTCCCCCCCAGTTCTCCACCTATTTTCCTGGTTACTTTGATGGCCAGTACTGGCTCTGGTGGGTCTTCCTTGTACTAGGTGAGTGTTCAGCGGGAAGAAGGAATGCATGCTTAAAAACTGTTGTCAAGTGCAGTTTGGGCTTTACTGGCTGTTCAGATATGTGCATATTGATATAAAAGTGAAATGTAACCCTCATAGAACCCTTCCTCCTACTGAATGGCTTCAGGGTTTTAAAGGTACACACAAACACCATCCTCTTGTTTTCATTTCTTGGTGGCAGCATCCTGAAGCACTGAAAGATTGGGTGTCGTTGCTTAAAAAACTCAATTATCTTGAATCTAATCAGCTATTGTGCATCCCAGTGACAAATATCCCTCTCTATTAGTAATACTGGGTTGAACTGCTCCCTCTAACTGAAGGAGCAGCACCTGTGTTAACTGACGTGGTTTTTCCATCCAGGTTTTCTGCTGTTCCTCAGAGGGTTTATTAATTATGCAAAGGTTCGGAAGATGCCAGACACCTTCTCCGCTCTCCCCAGAACCAGAGTTCTCTTTATTTACTAAAGGTAAACTTCCTGCTTTCCTGATTTTGTTCTCTTTTGGTTTTAATTCTCTTTAGTGACTCTTTGAGGCTGGGCTTTGCTTTGAATATGGTTTAGGCAGCAGACAACAGTTGTTTCTTGGTATCCCGTAGTCAGCTCCTGTTGTGGCAGAGTCCAGACTGACTTGGTGGGGAGCAGAAGAATACTTGACATTTCTCCTTGAGTTTTTGCTTTGAGGAATTGATATATTCGTTAGATTCCAGGACGTGAATTGTAAGAACAAAACCTCTGCCCCTTGGTGTTGCGCTGTATTTGGCAAGTGAATCTTTCAGAAGAAGCCACATGCCTGAAGCACGTGGTGTGTCCTGAACGTGAGTAAAGGTCACAGAATGTTAGAAGATTGTGCCAGTGTCTTTGGCTTATGCCCCAGACAGAGCCATTTGTGTGGATTTTGCATTCTGCTTGAATTTTCTGCCAAGTTCCTGAAGAAATAAAGCTCCTGCACACCTTTGCTTGTTAGAAACCCCTCCTGCATACTAGAACATAACACACTGTCCTGCCTGAACATCCTTCAAAGACCTTAATGCCTAAAAGTCTTTCATTCTGAGGCCAAACCTTAACTTTGCTGCCTTCTTAATGGGACTTTAAAGAAGGAGGCTTAAGTAGTTGAACCCTTCTAGCATAATTTCCTGCTTACAGCAGATAATGGCCTTACATTAACTGTCCCTCCCTGAGGGGAAGGAAATCCTGTTGCTTCCCAGATGGTGAATGCAACATGATGCTCCCTTTAGAAATATCATAATAGCCCTAGATTTCCCCAAGACAGGGTTGAAGCAATTGCAGCTGGGACAGTGGCATAAAGAAAGCAAACAAGCCCCAGCTTTAAATTGGGGGTCATTAAATCGTTCAGATTTTAAAACTGAGGCTTGATTCTTCCAGATTCGCTTTCCTTTCATTAGAAACTGCAAATTGCGTAAGATTCTGCTTCATTTCTAGGCTGTAATGAGAGCAGGCCACACAAACCAGCCATTGTGCGGTGTTTTCCAGCCTGAGTTTTCCACTGGTGATTGTGTGTAAAAATAGTTCAGTCCATTTATTGAAGTGTTTCAGTTCTGTTTAACACAGTCATGGTTTACAGCCTCCTCCAGGATTTGTAATATCCTCTCGTATTCCTGCTGAGTCACCAGAGGGTTTCTTTCCCCCCGCTGTATGGTCACGTAGCGTGAGCGTTTCAGCAGCAGCTTTATCATCTGCAGTTTGTTCTCATTGAAATTGTGCTGCTTTACTGAAACTTATCTTTCCGTGGAGGAGGAGAGGAACAGTTAGTGCCAACCAGCAAACACCAACTGGTGGAACTGAACGGAATGGTTAGCCTGGTGTTCACTGTTCATCCATGTGTGCTGGTGATGGACGTGACAAGAGCAAGGGGCTTGTGGTGGGTCTTAAGCTTAAACAGTTCCAGTTTAGAAGCAGAGGATGTCTCTTTCAACCCAGACACTTGATGGAAAGATACAAACCTCACCATCATCCTGGGTGGATGCTGCAATTAAAGGCAGTCCAATTTTGTTCTCATAGTACAGTGTAATTTGGTACATGTGTATGTTTAATGCTGGTGTTTCTAAGAGCCTTGTCTGGTTCAGTGCCTGTTTTCCCCTGAGGAGTTTTAACTCTTCAGATGCGCACAAAAGCACTGAGCATTTTGCTAGAGTCATGTCATTGTGTACTGAGATACTTCATAAGCCTTTAGACATCCTGCACTCTTTGTGAACTACATCCTTCTTTATCCAAAATAACAATCTAACTATAGTTGCAGTATTCAATATCCTTCTCCAACAGATGTTTTCTGGCAAATGTCTTCCTGCATTAGTGAATTCTCCCTCAAGAAGCAACAGGACACCTGCAGGAAGTGAATCAAGACTCTGGAGCAGAAGAAAAAATAATCACCTGCTTTAAAGTAACTCAATAAAAGTACTGTTCAAACAGACAAGGAGAAGCATTTCTTTCTATTTGTTTCTAGGTGTAAAGTTTGAATAATTAACGCAGAATTCTGTAATCATTGACTCATTTAGTGGCTGATGTTTGAAAAAGCTCTTGCGGTCGAGTCTGTGACGTGCTAATAAAGCCTTCCATGGGTAGTTCTGTAGTGAGCTTGGTAGCGTGAGCCCTGGCCCTGGAGCCAGCAGGGGACAGACTTGCTTTAGTTCCTCCTCTATCCTGGGAGCTGGCCTGGGCTCTGCTCTAGCCTGTGCAGTGCTGCTGGACAGAGGGGTGGCCTCAAAGATGGGGTGGTGGCCTTGAGGTTGGGGCGATGGCTCTGTTCTGGTCACACACCTTATCCAGCAGCACCTCTGCTGCCGTGGCCAAAGCAGGTCTCTGGTACAGGCTCCTGAGGGCTCATTGGCAGAGAGCATTGCTTTGAAGGCAGCACAAGTATTACGTTTTTGATAGTCTATACTCTCAATGTTGTAGGATACTTTACTTTCATACTACCTACTTTTTGGATCTCTAGGGGTTTTCACGGTACACATTGGTAGTGGAGACACGAAAGATGATGATGCAACTTTGTATAAAAAATGACCTTGCAAAACAAAGGCCTTTTTTCTTTCCCTTTCCTTTGGCTTTGGGACTTCGGAGACAATTCCTACCCCACCTGTAATTCTTGCTTTTCTAATTTGTGTTAGCAGAGACTATGATGCGTTCTAAATGTAGATTTAATGTGCACTCCTGTGCTTTCTGCCGAGCAGCAACTCACTTCGGAGTTTTACTATGTTAAAACTGTAAATACAGCAGAACGTTAATAAATGTCACTTATGTAGCACTTCTTGCTGTAGAGCAGTGTTTAATTTGGGTTCAAGCCTTCGTTGCACCTGATCATTGTTTACAAATGCAGATGCTGTGTGGGAATTCCATTGCTTTTGTAACACAAATCTCCAAGGTGTCTGTCTCCCCTTTGTAACCAGGTTTCCAAGTCCTGGTGCCAGCCTGGAATTGGTTGGGTCCATACAGTTTTGGGGCTGTCTTGGATTATTTTGGTAGTTTCACATATAGACCTCATCTGCCTTGTGGAGCTGTTCAAGGGTTTGGTTCATGGCTGAGCTGCTCTCATTTATAGTCTTCACAAACAAACAGGCTGATGGAGATAGATGGGGGTTACACAGAGACTTCCTTTTTAAACCAGAGTAAGTGTACGCAGAGAGAATTATTAAGTTTGTCCTGTGAAGCAAAACCTGATGTGTTTGGGAGCTGCATCACATTTGCCCAAGCTTGGTAGATGAGGCTTGTGCTTGCTCTCATGGAACCTGGGCCTTATTTAGGATGTGAATATTTGGCATTCCTGCTTTGTGGCCGAAGCTGCAGGCCCCTGCTGCTCATCATCCCCTGCAGACAGTGTTCAGGGCACATGGTGGGAGGTGCAGCCAGGAGCGGGTGGGTGACGGGCTGCAGCAGCCCATGTTCAGTGTGTGTTAACACCAGCTCCAAGCTCCAGTAATGACTGTGGGGCTCTGACAGCTTGGTCCCATCTAGGTGGCCAGTCTGTGCTCATCATCTGCAGTGACCAAATGCACACCTTCGGCCCTTCCACCCCCCGGGGTTGTCTTCTCCTTCCACCACTGTAAATCTGCAACCCCTTCCACTGGAGCAGCTTGCTCCAAGCCCCTGTGTCCAACCTGGCCTTGAGCACTGCCAGGGATGGGGCAGCCACAGCTTCTCTGGGCACCCTGTGCCAGCGCCTGAGCACCCTCACAGGGAAGAGCTTCTGCCTAAGAGCTCAGCTCAGTCTCCCCTCGGGCAGGTTCAAGCCATTCCCCTTGGCCTGGCCCTACAGGCCCTTGTCCCAAGCCCCTCTCCAGTTCTCTCCAGCTCTTTCCTTTGCTGCTGGTGCAGGTTATTCCATGGCAACTCTCAAAATGGCTAAAACTACTTTGCATCAGTAGCAGCCTTACGCAGAAAAGCTCGGCTGTGGTACAGAGGAGTCGCTTTTTCTCGTGCAAATACCAGCTTGTTTGTACATTGATCTCAAAACCCTATTTTTCAATCATTTGAGAGTTGCTTTAAGGTTTTTCCAGGTTTTTTTGAAACCTTATTTCCAGTTCCCATGAAAGAAGGGAAAGGAACCCAAGGGGAGAAGGATCGGGTAAATGGAGACCAGCACGTGCTGGAGGAAATCAAATCTGCCCATGGAGAAGGTAGGAGCACCACGGAGGAAACGAATGGGATCTGTCCATTGTCCCTGCTCTTCTGCTGGCTCTGGTCGAAGCTTAGCCCCCAGTGGAAAGATCACTGCTAATTTCTCCATGTGAAGTAGAGGATTCTGCTAAGGAATAAAACCACTGGAGACCTCCAGGTCCATTCTGCTTTATTTTCCAAACTGGGGAATGGACAAAAAGCCCATCAGGGAAGGAATCTACCAGAGTGTGCGGGGTTCAGCCATTGTTTAACGTGAAAGAGCAATCTCAGGATGTGTCCTAGAAGCTTATTTTTAAATCATAGCACTCACACAGACACAAACCCTCTTTTGCTAAGCTTGAGCAAGTAAATAAAACCTAATGGCAATGGATATAACTAAAGCAAAAGGCAGGGATCTGTCCCCAGGGTCTGTAGTGCCAGGAAGGGTCTGCACCAGGAACCACAAGTTCCAGGGGGGGTTAAACACCATCCATGTCCCAAGGCCAAGTGGAGTGAAGCACCAGGGTGCTCTGGAGTGCCTTTGTAAGGATGGAATTACTCCATAGAAGTTATCCTGAGTAAGAAATCAGTGTTTCCAAAATATCCATTGCCCCTTGGTGAGCTCCAGTGGGCCCCTAAACTGTAACCTCAGGTGATGCTCAGCTGGAGCCATCAATGCCACCAGGAGATGGTCTTTGGAGCATGCTCCAGGCACAGTGGGCAGCCTTGCCTCCTGCCCATGGGCATCACACCCAGCAGCTGCAGGGTCTGGAGGCAGCACGAGGGGCTTTGTGGGTCAGAAAGCCCCATGCCCACAGTCCCACAGCCCATGGGCAAAGAGGGCAGCAGATCGGAGGGCCGATGAGGACAGAAGTCCATCTTCCACCAGGTTTTGTGTTTGTGTTTGTTGTTGCTTTAACCAAAGGGGCTGGAGCTCGGTAATTAAAGGCTCAGTGCCTCTAATTGGAATAAGTTTAAACTCGAGGTCAAAATCCCTTCTGGCACTTCCTCTGCCTAATAACCACCAACAGAAATCAAACAAATCCAACTGGCTCCAGCCGCTCATCTGCACCCAGCAAAGGTCGCGGTGGTGATAAGGGAGCGCGGCGGCCGCACGCAGCCCTGCATGGAGACAGCACAGCCCAGCGCCGAGGGTGCAGCACCCAGCCCCGCTTGGGGCGGGATGGGGCAGTGTCAGTGCTAGGGGATGAGTGACAGCGGGTCAGCCCCTGGTTGGACCCGTGCTGGGGATGGAGAGAGAGAGGACGGGGCATCCCGTGCCAGTGCAGTGCGTGGGGCAGGGATGGGAGCGTTCAGCATCGCCCAGCGCGGCGGGTCCACCACAATCCCAGGGTTCTTGGAGCAGGATGAGGAAACCGAGGCTGCGGTGGGGGCTTAAAAGGAGGGTTTGTAACCGAGTGGTAATCCCCGTGTGCCTGGTGGTGCTGAGCGCGGTGTGTGCGGGGCTGCACCCCCAGCCCACCCACTGCTGCGCTTCCTGCCACCGCCGGAGGTCACTGCCCCTGCCAGCTCGCCATTTAACTGCCTAATTATGCCCTAATGTGGCCTTTAAAGTGATCTGGGAGGAGGGAAAGAAAGAGAAAAGGGGTTGCAGATGTGCAATGGTCAACACTGCGGGGCTGGGGTGCAGCGAGCGTGCGTGCGGCCATCTGTCCCTCCCTCCCTCCCTCCTGCCCTGCTGCAGCTCTGCCTATCCTCGCTGCGATGCCTGCAGCAGCTTTTGCCTCCAATTCGCATCATTTTGGGGCTCTGTCGCTGCTCCCCCCTCTGCCAGCCCGCTCACACGCATTGCACTGCCTGGATTAAAGGGCAGCACCTGCAGTGCCCGGCTGAGGCTGTGGTGCAGCTGCAATCACTGCTGCCTCCCTCCTGCAGCTGTGACCGGGGGAGTGCTCAAAAGCCCCAGCTGTGCCTGGTGCTGCTTCCTCTGGGACTTCTGAGCCTGCAGCAGGGCATGGGGAGCCCCTGCCTGGGGGAAACCCCATCTCCCCTGCAGCCCACATAGGCTGCAGCCTGCGGCAGCGCCATCACCCTTTGCCATGGGGTGTGCTCCCTGTTGTGCATTGAGTTACTGCCTCGGTCCTCCAAGTTGCACAGAGGTAAGCGGGACCAGCACAAAATGCGTGGTTAGGATTTGCCCCTCGGTGTGGGAGCTGTCAATGGGGCTGGGTCGCTGCTGGGGGAGCTGCTGGTGGCAGCACACTGCAGCTCAGCAGAGGGGCAGCAGGAATACATTCACTTCAAACTAAAACCCCCTTGCAAGAACCCCCCCAAACCCAAGCCACCAGTGTCCAGCAGATGTAAAGGCTGGTTGAAGCCTGCAGGGGCAATCAGTGACACAAAGAGTAACACAGAGCTTGGCTATGACAAGATGATGAAGCAGCTGCAGGTTCAAATCTGAAGCACAGGGCAGTGGCTGCAGCAAGGGGGATAGAGCTGGAGTGGTTCCCTGCTGTAGATGTGAGCTGGTTCTGAGTTTGGCTGGGAACTCTTCATGCCAATTCTATGGGTTGTGCCTGAGACCGGTCCCTTCTCACACCAGCCCTCGGTTTCAGGGCTGCCACTGCAGAGCTGCAGCTCCTGACAGCCTCCTCTTCCTCTTCCCAGAGCCATCGCTGAAGGATGCCCCCAGTGATGTCCCTAACTCTTTGTTTCCAGGTGTCTCCATGTCCCCCTATGGTGTGATGCTGGGTGCCGGCGCTGGATGCTGCAGACCTGCCTGGCCCTGCTGGGCACAGCACTGATGTGTCTTGTTCATCCCTCGGGCAGCTCACACCTACATGGAGGTAAATCAGGCTT